TGTTATTCTTCTTTGCATCATCTAGCAGCTGCTGGATTAATTTCTCATGATCCCTTACATTTTTAAAGCAGTTTTTCTTTTCCTGGTTACTAATTGCAATCTTATCTTCTATATCTGAAATTCTGACCTCACATTTGTTCATTCTGCTGCATAGACTTTCAATGGAGTTTTTAATCTCCTGTAAATCTGTTTGTATCTGTTTTATGGATTCCATTTGTTTCCTATGTTGGCATTCCATCATGTTCCTCAGCTCCTCTATTTTTTTATCTGTGTCCTCTCTAGATTTATTAATCATGTCTTGCACTATGGGTACAATCTCTGCTGTTATGTGAGAAAGTATTTCTGATTTCATTTTTTCTAGATCCTCTTTTGTTGCCAGTTCAGGGAGTCTAGGTGGTTGAGTATCAGAGTGTTCCATCTCATTTCCCTTTGGGGTTGCTGAAGGTGATCTGGAAGTCTGTTTTTGGGGCCTCTTTACCTGTCTTCTCATTTCCACGGGGGGTGGGGTGTGCTGCTGGCACCCACGCTGCTCACCTCCTCTGCCTTGGGATCAGTGGAATGGTGGCCGAGGAGCCTCCCCCTGGGTGCTGGCATTGGCTCACCTCCTCTGCCCTGGGAGCGGTGGAATTAGACTAAAGTTATTTATGACAGCAAACTTTTTTCAGATTATGTTTATATGAATGCTATATAAATGTGTTATAATGGTCAGAGCTACCTACCTACCATACAGTACAGGCAGTGTTACTCTAATAATTAGAGATTGGAGATTAATAACCTATAAAGTACATCTGTATACAAGTACATTCTACTTAAAAGGCACTTTATAAAAAGGTATCAAATTTAAATAAGGGTTTATGTCATTTAATACCTTGTAATTAGACAAAAGTAAGCAATAAAATAAAAATTTAAATGTATTTTGGAGATAATAACAAAAACATAACAGTTCTAATATACAAATATCATTGTTATGCTAAACTTGCTCTTGATTCAAATTTTCCCTGTAAAATTATATAACTGTTATCTGTTAGCATTCTATCAAAATTTGACCTTTAGAAGAAGTCAACCATAATTAATAAAAGATGGAGCAGTTCTCTGGCCAATTTTACATTTCAAAGTGCCCCAATCCAAATTGAATCATAAAAGTTAAAATCTAGTGCTCCCACTTTAATACTGGTGTAACTGACTTTCTGGAAGTTTAACAGCTGAGGCAGACAGACCAAGTTTAAAAAAGATAACTGGTCTGGAAGGACAGCCAATAGTTTGGACTTGGCCCTCCAACATCAGTATGAAACACAGATGTGCTGGCTAAGAGACACTCCAATAAATTGTTAAGCAGTTAAGCTTAAACATGTAGAAAAAACACAAGAAAAATAAGGATAAAGGTTCTGATAAGAATAGAGAGAGGAGACCTTTCCCCAAAGGAAAAAAGTTCTAATGCAGAGTATGCTAAATTAGTTGACAGTTCCTTCCTACCTGTAGACTGGACTTTAAGAAATGTTAGAAATGCAAAATAACCAGTTTCCTTTAAGCTTGTGGTTTTTTTGTTTGTTTTCTGGTATGAGTGTTTCCCATGCTCTGCTTATTCGTATAAGGAGTAAGACAAAGGAGACAATTTGGACTTTCATTCAAAATCCCTTCCTTGTGACAGGAACTATTTCTGTTCTTCATATTTTCCACAAATACTCTCCTAACTTTCCCCTTTGTCTGCTTCTTCATTCTTTGACTTCATGAGAAAACAAGCCCACTTTGTACAGGATTAACTGTCTCACAGGTAGACTCCAGCCCCAATTCACTGATAGTGTTGCTGGGAGAGGGCCCTTCATTCTGGCCAGAAGAGGCCTTCTGCCAGGAGACTCCTGCCTCTTGTCAGAAGTGAGGCTGGTAGGTCTCAAAAGTGAGTCAGGAAGTCCTGGTGCCATGCTTTGTCCCTCGGCCAACCACCCTGTGTGTGCTGTCTGTGTGGCCCTTCTTTTTTCTCTTGTGCCTGGGCAGTGCTGACTTTGATTGCTTCTAAGGCCAACTCCAAAGTACAGAGTCTAGGAGTCTAGTTAGTCATGAAGCCACTCAGTCCTCTGAGCTCCTCTCAACTTGGACAAGGGCCATTCCCAGGAACATCCTGAGCTAGGCTCTGTGAAAGAGATGGAGAACTCTCTGGGTTTCCCATGGGTGCTAGTGTATTTCTCTAGAGGAATCTGAGATCAGGCACAAATGCCTTTAGGTTTACTGGGAAATATTGAATGAAAATTTAACTGAGGGATCAACAGTTCAGAGACTTTGAAGCAAGGGTATTTAATGACCCACTGATATTGATAAAGTTATACTTTCTTTGTATTTAGATTGAGTTTAAAAAATAACCTAGATAACTTTTATCCATTGTGCCTATACCCTAACCTGTACCCCAACCTGGATAGCTTTTAAACCTCTGTATTATCTAATGGTTGAGGCAAGGCTATGGTACAACTTTGTTATGTTCCCTCAGAAGCAACAATTTTGCCTTGTGTACATTGTACATACTATCTAGTCACATGGAACTAAAAGACACCTATTAAATGCCAGATATTTAAACTTTAAGGCATTTTTGTCAGACTTGGTAGTATCTTATCTCATATTCTGTTTTCTTACTAACAGAATCCACTTTGTTATGTTGCCAATGTACCTACCTCATAGACCTGTATTTCCTCTTTCCTCTTGTGGGTAAGTGTTCCAGCTAGAGAAGTTAAATAACTGACTTCTGGGAAAACGATTTTAAAGGCAATTGTCTTAACTGTCATGAACCCTTTTGATTTTGGCCCTTTTATCTTCTTGTGTGGAAAGCTGCTATACTTTTTGATGCTCCAGTAGCCATCTTAGGATCATGAAAACACTGTAGGTTTGAAAACTGGGTGCTTACGAAAGAGTCTGCATCTTGTTGACATTGTAGATGCTTCATGCCAGCCATCAAGTTTTCTACCCTAGACTTCTTTGAAGCCACTCCTATTTGTGTTTTCTATTACATTTTAGTAAAACTCAATACCTAACTGATAAAGCACTCAGTTTTCCTATTGCTTTAATCAAAGATAAAACAGAAAAATTAAAAGGTACTTCTTTCTACAAAATAGTTTTGGTCAAATTTTAACTTTAACACAGTCGCAGCAGGGCTGTAACTTGTACGTCTCACTGCCAGGTGGCTCTGATTTGAATTGACTGTCTCACCAGGTGGCTCAAACCACCGGGAGTACATGCATGACGGTCCTGTCAGATGGCTTATACCACTGGTGGTACATTAAATAGTCTATAAATTGTCTATAAATGGACTGAATCTAGTTAGTTGCTTGAATTTGAATAATTACTACCCAAATTTAAATGCTATTATACCAATTATAAGTTATTACAATAATCAACAAATTTATTTCATTAAGTTAAAAGAAATTTGTTTATATTCATGGTTGATCAATAGTTAATTCTCTAATTTTTAATATGGAAATCTTAGAAATTCCTCATTGCTGGTGTATACAATATGTGTTCACAACTGCTGTACCACAAATTAGCTGTATTACAATTTTTTATATCATTTTAATGTTTTAGAATGTAATATGATGATATCTGGTCTCCTAAATCAATGCCTTTTTTTGCATTATTGTAATCAAAGATCCCCTGAGAAGTGGTACAAGCTGTCCAACGGGACAGTCATGCATGTACCACCAGTGGTTCAAGCTGGCAGGAACAATTGAATTCAAATCAAAGCCGGTAGGCAGAGAGACATATGAATTATGGCCCCATCCTGAACATGTTAAACATTGAGGATGGGCATGTCTTTGTGTTACGTAAATATTATGCAGTGTCAAGGAAACTCAGCTTTAAAAAAAGCATCCTTTCAAGTTTAACAAAAAATATTTTATTGGTTATCATTGTATGCATATGAGAAGTGAATAGGTTTTTGATATCCTTAAGACTTGAATTTGAAACCTGACTGTGCAGCTTTGAGGACATTACTGAACATCTCTCAGTCAAACTTAATATTAATACCATTTTCCCCATTTTTCAAGTGAGTATACTAAGTGTGGAGGAGCTGGGCCATCTGCCCAAGATCACATAGCAGATCCATAGAAGATCAGGGGAGGGGTCTGTGGCCCAAGTGGTTTTGCACATTATTGTTCAGCCCAGATGTTAGGGACCTCAGTGAGGGATTCCCAGGCGAAAGAACATGAGTCCAGGTTAGGGGTGGCTGCTCCAGGTATGATAAGAATCAGAGCCCCAGTCTGGGTTTATACCTCCAGAGAGGGCGTGGGAGGAGTTCACATATAGGAGAAACTAATATTTCTTCCATTTTCTTTCTCTGGAACATAAATCGGGATCAGCTCTGGATTTGATCCATGTTCCCAGTCTCCAGTATATCACATTTCTCCAAGATTTATGGATGTTTTCTCTGTCAGGAGCACTCGCTGGTGGATTACCAGGTTTGTTTACATTTTTCTCTTATCTCAGGCAGCATCATTTAGTCTCTAGTGCCTTGATGTGTGCTCTGTCCAGAGATGCTTTTGCCATCCAACCCCTGCCATGGTCCACACACTGTGCCTTCACCTTCTGCACACCTGTGCAGATTACTTCATCACTTGGGCACATGATGAGGGCCAGAATGTTTGTGATTTTCCCTGCCTTTGCTTCCTGGTGAGTGCTGAGATCCTCTGCTACATACTTGTGCACCCTGGGGTTCAGCATTTGTGATCTTATCTCTCTCCCTTGATGAAAATACTTCTTTGTCAGGACTCCATTCAGAGCTCATAGCCAGTCTTTTCTCTCCTAATAACAAATGCCTTCCTGTGAGTTTTTAGAAGTTTGAAGAAACACTGGCTTTACATTCTTAATAACACAGAAAATATTTTTGCTCTGAGCCCAAGAACTCTGTTGTGTGGAATTTTCTTTTAAAAAGCAGAACAAAGACCAGTTGCAACTGCCAGTTTCTTGGCTCTTGTTTTCTTTTCGGCTCTAAATAGTAACCAGACACGGACTCAAATTCTGTGGCCCCATGGCCACCCTCCCCATTTTCCTTTTCCTCTTGAGGTTCATTATTTTCTCCAAATTAGAACGTTCTGGTTGGAATGAGGGAGTATAAAGAGACAGGCAGCAGGGAGCTCCAGTTGTTCAGAGGGATTACATCTTGGGGAGGCCTTCCTTGCTGGTCCCTGATATGATTAATTGGCCAAAAGGAGCTTGGCTTTGTAGTTTGTGGAGATGGGTTTTGAAACGAAGTCTGCTAGGTTTTTGACAATGGCTTTTAAAAACAATTTCTTACAATATTTTAGAGCTATTACAGAGGTCTTGCTTTTACCCAATCATGAAGCTGCTAGTAGTTCGTTTGTTCATTTGTTTGTTTATCCATTTATTCTGCCAAAACTGATCACATAGCTTCTGGGCATCAGGCACTGTGCAAGGCTTTGGAGACACCTTGGCCATGCTCTCAGATCCTGCAACAAAGTAGGGGTGACAAACAATAAGCAAATAATCACGTGTCCTGTGAACTGCTCACAGGGATAAGTACACAGAAGGAGAAGAGATGTGTCTTTCAGGGTATATCCAGGCCAGTGAGCCCAGGTATGAAAGGAAGAGAGGGAAAGAGAGTCTGTTGGGTAATGGCTGGGAGCAGGTTTTGGGTGAACTTTTAATGGACACATTAAGTGATTTCTGATAGAAGGAATGATGGGTACAGAGGCAACAGGGAGGAATTAGCATGAGCATGAGAAGAAATGAAGAAAATGTTTTATTTCTCCCTGTGGTACTGGGATTGAGTCCAGGGCCTTCCCACTGAACTACACATCCTCATCCCTTTTTACATTTCATTTTGAGACATGGTCTGGTTAAGTCACTAAATTGCCCAGGTGAGACCCGAACTTGGACCTTCCTACCTCAGTCTCTCAGAGTGCTGGGATGACAGGCATGGGCCCCCACACCTGAAAGAGAGACTGGGTTTCTGAGCGTGAGAAAGAGAATGGAGCAACAGGGTAACTGGAGACCAACGTAGTCTCGGACCAGAGATTCTCTCCATCCTTAGAGCCAACAATGAGTTGTGTGCTGTGAAATAACATGATTAAATTTGCACTTTGTAAAGATTGCTCCGGTCTCAGTGCAGACCAGATTTTCAGAAGGCTGGAGTGGATTCGTCTGTTCATTCATGGAATGTATACTGGGCTCTGAGCATAGGCCAGAGCCTTCTCTCTACAGTGGCAAGAGAGTTCCTTTCCTCTCAGAAATTATAGTCTAGTTGATGAAAATTGACGATAATAAACAGAGATACAGATAAAGAGAAATGACAAGTGTCCATGGTGACAAGCACAGTGAAAAAAATCAAGCAAATGGAATGTTGTGACATTCAAATGGTGTTGGGGGTGTCTATTTCTGGCTCTATTTACTGGGTGTTCAGGGAAGGCCTTGCTGGAGAGGTGAGAGTTTCCTTCTTACCTGAAGCATATTCTTCCATCAAGTCTTGCCTAGTGCAGAGTGCATCTTTAAAAGGCCCTTACTTCTGGTCTTCAAATGTTTAGAAGCTCTAAAGTATATAGATAGGCACCCCCATCCCTCAATTTTCCTTGTCCTTTGTGCAGTCCTGAAGCGTTAGAACTTGAAGGAACTTTCAAGATCATCTAATCCTACTCCTTTACTTTACAGGCAACAAAACAGAAGCCCAGGCAGGGAAGGTTTGGTTGTTTGCAGACTGAGCTGTCCTAGTACTCAGGTCCTTCTCATCTGGGGCCAGAACTCTCTGTCCCCTGATTCGGCCTTCGAGCAGTGCTGTCTGAGGCCACGTGGGCTGTTTCTTAAACACTTTGCATAGGGGGCTCCAAATACCTGCAAAAATGATTAATGGTCCTTCATTTTCCCTCCTGGCATCCCCTAATGCAAAAAAATTGGACAAGAACCAATTTAATTTAGTCTTCAGAAAGTACCACTTCTTTTCCAGCCTGGCTTACATTAATGATCTTTTTAAAAGACCCTGAAGCTCTGAAGCATATTTAAGACCATGAAAGCTTTTCCCATTTATAAGGTTTCATGGAATGCAAAGTGTAGAAAGAATAAAAAGAAAAAAATTCTCTTTCCCCTTGGTTTCTTTAAGATTTCAAACTTGGTAAGACATTTCTTATTTAAGATTTATAAAAATATATTTTTCCATAATTGAGTATTTTTGCCTAAGATTTAATCTAGAACATAGATTTTTCATGATTGAGTTCAAAATTCCTTTGGAATCATGGTATACTCTAAACTAAAATAGCATTTAGGAGGCTGGTTATAATTAAAGTTCTTCTACATCAGATCTCTTAAAAGAGTCTCTCTACTGTCTACCCCCTTTCCTGATAAGTTATCCTGAGAGAGGAAGCTCAGCATGTCTGAACCCATGAAGTCCAGGCCACAAGGTATTAAAAAATTCGATGGCAATTTTTATCTTGATAGAAACAAACTTTATTGATGATTTTCTGATATTGCTGACCACTAAAGAAGTGACTTTTCTTTTTTTAAAATGAGATAGATTGTTTTGCATTCCATTTTCAGATAAAGGAATTGATGTCTAGAAAAATTACATACAGCCCAAATTCAAACACACCAAGTAGTTATGAATGTCAAGTATTTAGAAGACATTTTGTGTGGCATTTCAGCTCAGAGGAGGAAAGGGGACTTAGTCACAAGTAATTTTATTGGGAATGTCTCTATGAGACTTTAGTCTCCTCGTGTTCACCCTCAAGAAGTCAGAATGGCATAGGAGGCTCTTAAGATTTCTGGGTCAGTTGAGGAAGGAAAATAGTTAGCTCTTCCCCAGAAAAGTCATGTGCGTTAACGTACTTAGAGGCATTTTGGTTTTTCAGCCATGACTGTGCAAAGCTGGGAGTGCTGAAGGTTTGATCCCAGGAAGCAAGTGTATGGGTTTTTGGGGCTGCCATAGCAACCAAAATGGCTCAAAACATCGGAAATCTATCCTCCCAAGTTCTGGAGACCAGAGGCACAAATACAGCTTCATTGAACTGAGGTCAAGGGTTGGGAGGACATTGGTCCTTCCGAAATCTCTAGAGAAGAATCTGTTCTTTGGCTCTTCCAGCTTCAGTTGGCTGCTAGCATTTTTTAGCTTTTGGTCACAGTGCTCCTCTCTCCTTGCTCACATGACCTTTCTCTTTTCTGTCGATATCCCTTTGTTTCCAAATATGATTGCATTCTATATCCCTTTGTTTCCCTTGTTTCTAAATATGATTGCATTTAGAGCTAACCAGGTAATCCAGGGTGACATTCCCATATAAAATCCTTAACTAAATCATGTTTATGAACAACCAGTTTCTCCTTATAAGATGACACAGGTTCTAGGGATTAGGACCTGCTGTCTTTACCACCATTACTGAGCCTGCCATACTGAGCTTGGACACATCATGCTAATATCACCTATTGACAGAAAATAAAGGAAAAGGCTACAGGCAAGAAAGAAGCCACCAGAAAAGAGCCTTCCTGCTCTCCAGATTTGGGGTGAAATGTCATGACCAGTCTGACAGAACAAAAGAATGAGGGGAAAGCCTTAAGCAATAAAAGTCTCCAGAGAGACCACAATGGGATGATTACTGCTGAGTTTGTTTATGAGAGGAAAGAAAGCAGCCATGTTGGGGAGTCTCTGGTGGTTTTTATATCCTGGAAGTTATGTGGAAATAGTTGAAGTGGAATGTGTTCTTCAGGAGTGCAAAATGATTTCTTGTTCAGACAGACCACAGGCATGAGTGGTTAAAGAAATCTCCCTCATAAGTAGAAATGCAAAATGCTCATCAGAAGATTATTCATGTGGCCACTTGGGGACAAAGGAACACACCCCTCTGATTCTCTTGCTGATTCTACTCTGTTGAGAATGGTTGTTGAGGATACAGGGTGAAATTGGAGTATCCAGCAGTGGTAACTAAAGATTGTGGTGGGCAAGGGCTTTCCTTTCTGACCACATCCATAAATCAAGAATGGAGAAGGATAAAAAAGCCTCAGTGGAAAGTAATACTCTTGCTCACTCATTTGCTTCAGATGAGAAAACACAGCAAACCACTGCTCCTCTTAGTAAAGTGCAGAAGGACCTGAACACTGGGCAGCAGGGTAGCTTCCAGTTGGTGACCCTCACTGCCTTCTAACAGGTGGGAAGCAATGTTGGGGTTTTACAGAGATTTCCCAAACGCAGGTCACCAGTGCTCAGAGCTTCCCTGGGCTTGTTGATTGTTTTTTAGCATGGGAAACACTTTTCTCTTGTACTTCGACTTTCCAAGTTCTGGGGCCCTTAAAGACTCAAAAGTTTTACCTGTTTTCTTGTCCTTAATTGTCCCTGAACCATCATACAAAATTTATACAACCAACTAAGGTCAGGTAAAGATTTTTAATCCAAGCTCACTAATCTCACACAACTCCCAAAACTGCTCATGTTAGGACAGAAGTGACCAAACATGAGTTGCTCATCTATTTGGTAATCAGTGATTAAAGCTGAATGGATGGATGAGAAACTGTTTAAAGGACTTCCAGCACCTGTATCTTAGTCTCTCATTTGTGGCAATAAGTGAATACCAGAGAATGAGTAATTTATAAAGAAAAATAAATTCATTTCTTTCTTGAGGCTGAGAAGTTTAAGAACATGGCATCATCATCTGGTAGGGGCCTTCTTGCTGTATCACGGCATGGAGGATATTACACAGTGAGACAGAGTAAGCATGCTAGTGTAGGTCTCTTTTCCTCTTCCTTTAAAACCACTAACGTCCTCACAACCTCACTTAATCCTAATGGCTTCCAAAATCCTCTCCTCCACACAGCACCTGCATATGAATTAGAGGACTGTCTTCTATACATGAACTTTTAGGGGCCATGTTCAACCATAGAAAGCCCCAAATCAGTGACTTAGCGTTTCCATCTGGTGGGACCCCAAAAGCTTTCCAGCACCTGCTGACTCCCTTTTGTTCAAGTGTATCTTGTTGAAGGTAGGACAACTTGACTTAATAAACTATTTAAGCATATCAATGCTTAAGACACCTTTTTATCTTTCCAAAGGCAAATCTGTTTAGGATAACTGCCTTCCAGGACACAACCCACAGTGAAACATATATGACTCTGTGACATGCCAAGGACTGTTCCAGACAAGATTAGTCTGAAGGATCTGGTAGTTGTTGACCCTTTATATCTCCCAGGACAACATTGTGAAAATACTATTTATGTTCTGCCACAAAAATTCTTTTTTGATCTCTGCTCCTTCAAAGTCCAGTTCCTCTAAATAATCTAATAATTAAAGTACAGTCATTTCCCACATTGTGTAGAACATTTCTACTAGCCTTGATTGTACTTCCATTAGACTCTAGGTAGCTGATATGGTGACCTTGTCAAAGGCAGTGGTGACTAGACTTGTTTGGTGGTCAGTCATTGACAGTTAACTCTCATTGAAACTGTTCAAACATTTCAATAGCCTCTAGACCTAAATCAGACTCTGCATTTGAATGAGGCCACTCCTTATCCTTCTTGCCCTGAAGTGAGCAGCTCTTGCTCACTGGGGCAAAGCCACTGGCACCCTCCATCTCTCTCTTTCCTGAAGCACACTTCATGCTGAAGTTCTCAAGAACTGGAATGTTTCTGCCTAGTGTGGTGATTTTCAGTTGAATAGATTCAGTGTGGGCACAAATACTTCCTTATGAGAGAAATAGTATTTGGAGAAGTGTTCACAGGGTAAAAAACAATTTTCAATATAACTATATTCATTTTTTTAAAAGCTAAGAGATGAGAGAGAGAGAGAGAGAGAGAGAGAGAGAGAGAGAGAGAGAGGGAGAGGGAACCTTCCAAATTCCCCAGACTGGTAAAGAAATCATAGTTACACAGAAAATAGAATGGGAAAATGTTACAGGGTCATGAGGCAGTCACAGGGCGACTATATGTCTCAGCTCATACATATTGTTCAGGAATAATTACAGCCTCCTGCAGTGGCCTGAATGTGTCCCCAAAGTTTACTATGTGGAAACTTGATCCTCAGTGCAACAGTGTCGAGAGGTGAAACCTTTAGGATGTGATTTAGTGTATATGTACTGCTGAAGCCAGCACTTTAGGGTGTGATTTAATCATGAGATTCTGCCCTCATAAATGGATGAGTGTTCTTGCAGAAGTGGGTCATAAAGCAACTTCACCCTCAACTTTCATGGTCTTACCATGTGACACCTGCCACCATATTATAACGCAACATGAAGCCCCTCACCAGGCATAGCCCCTGATCTTAGACTTCCCAGTCTCCAGAACTGTGAGCCAAGTAAACTCTTATTGTTTAAAAGTTAGCCAAACTGTGGTACTCTGTTGTAACAACTCAAAATGGACTAAGGTAACCCTTTTTTTATTCTCCAAGTATCTCACTTAGACATTAAATGATACAATAACCCTAGTTAATAGAAGTGAAGAAACACTCTTCGGATAGGGCCTCCAAAAGAGGTCCCCAAATTATCCTCATGTTTAAGGTTCAGTATCTGGAAAGAGGAGTTTGGATTAGCAGAGTGGCTTCTTAGTAAAATAAATTCAACTTTGAGTCATATATTTTTATGAGAAAGACCAGTTGTATTTGACTACCGGGTGCTTATGAACATACAACATCCCATAATTCTAAAGGACTTGAGGGTAAAAGATATTTGACAAGAAACAAATACAGTTCTTGTGAAGGAAACACTTACCTTTCATTTTGAGGCATTCACCTTTCATTATGCAAAGCAGTTATGGGAACTTGTAGTACAGATGAGGTAGGAGTAGGGAAGCTTAAAAATCTATCTTGTGCTCATTCTTTAGCTGCTGTCTATATCTACTCTCTGCTAATTGTTTCTTATCTTCACTTTGTCTTTACATTGTACAAATTAAACAACTTGGTTCTAACTGGGTACTGACTTCTTTCTTTTGTAAAAAGAAAGACATTAGCTGAAGGCAAAGTCCAGAGGTCTTTGGCTCCTATATTCAGTTAGGTCATAGGGTTGTTCCTTTTTTGATCATGTGGAAAACTTGGCCTTGCCATTCCAGAGAACAATTGGCCAAATACCTTTACTCCATATCCATTGACCTAGGTGATGATATGCTGCAACAAGAGCCACAATTACTTATTAGGGTTTTCAATTCAGGAGTGAGAAGCTGTGATTTATAAAACCAAAACGCCACCAACAACACTACCACAACAAGACAAAAGTTTGTAGCTAAGTTGTTTAAAGCACTATAGCCATTATACTCTTCTCTTGCTAACACCTCATCATGGATTTTGACATATGGATTCCCTCCCTTCCCCATGTATCCTAAAAACAAAGCAATAAGGTGACATTGCATCCATGACAGATGCCTGGAAACCAGCACAGGACAGCTGTTGGAGGTCCTGTCAGAAGAGTGCTCCTTGAGCTCTGTTACCTAGGGTGCTCATATGACTTCATGTCTAACCCCAGTAGACAGGAGTTGTCTGATCACCACCACTCTTCCCCTAAAAACAGAAAAAAACTATCCTCTTTTGTTGCTGTTTCTTGTAGTTTCATAGATGCTGCAAGCTGGGGCCTGCATTTTTCTATGGTAAGATCACTCCTCAGTATTCCTTTGAGGCACCCTAACCCACGCTCTTGCTTCATGGGGCATGGGCTATGTGGGCTTGATGCTGCCATTTGTGTTTTCCTTGCATTGAAATAATTTGCTTTTCCCTTTCAGCAGCCTTGAGTTTCAACAACCTGAAACTGGTCTAGAAACTAGAGAAGAGAAACAACTATGGCTAACACATTCCAGAGACATGATGTCTAAAAGCAGAAGAGACTAAAGATGTTTTCCTTGAAACCTATGCGAAGTTATCTTCCCTCCATCCACATGGCTCTCAGGAACTCATAGCAATGGCTCCACGGGAAATTGAGCCTGATTGGGGATATTTAGAGTTAAATGTTACTGTGTTAAAGTGAGCCCTTTAGCAGATGGCCAGATAAATTTGTTTTATACAGTTTTCAATGTCTGTCTTCATTATTCTTCTAAGATGGTCTGAACCTATTTGTCATTTTCTGTGTTCTGACTCAGAATACAGAAATTGTGGGTAAACATTAAAAGAAAAAATCCTTTAAAAATATCTTTTTCTACTTCCTGCTCCTTTAGTTATAAAGGTTTAAAAAGAAAAAGTAAACAGTTATCCCCTATTACTTGGATCAGGGGACAGAAAGTTGCCTGGACCTAAACATTTTAGTCCCGTTGGTCTGCAAGGCTCTTACAAATTCCAGTCTCTACACTGCACTCTCTTAATATGGCAGGTGGTTCTGGGAGTCAAACTGAACAACTCACAGATGACTGTTTAACAGGTACACCTTTTGAGTATGTCTTCCTCTCTTCTAGGTTCAGGACCTGTGCCTTAGAATAGAGACATCTGGGTTAAAGCATTAAAGGGCTCTGTCAAATGCTACAGATGTGGGCGCTGGGGGGTCACCACAGTCTTCCTGGGAATCCAGTCCCTGATTAGCCTCAGCCCATGAAGAGGCCCCTGAAGCAAGACAGCACAGGGAGCAGGGCAGGGGCAGTGAGAACCCATACCACCCCATGGTGTGGATTTCCCTTGTGTTATCGTAAGGAAACACTGGTAAGGCTTGTGAAAATGCACACCTGAAAAACACAAGGGACTTTATTTATTGTTTAAATTTTACTTTTGATTATTTTTTGATATCAATTTTATTGAGATGTCATTTCCATAACACATGATTTACCCATTTAAAGTGTATGATTCAGTGGTTTCACTATTTGCAGAGTTGCTCAGCCATGCTTTTGGGTCTTGCTCTGCTTTACATTCTGCCGCTTCCCTGGTCTCTGGGACGTTCCTGCCTTGGGTGCTGGCTCACTCCCTTCTCCTCGCCCAGTTCTGGCTCAAGTGCGACACGCAGGAGGTTGGTGCCATCCATCTACTGGCACTACTGCTGCCTTGGTTTCCTGGCCCCAGCTCGTGTTAGGGACTGGACAGCGGAGCGGAAGTGGCCAGTTCTCCTCTGTGCCCTTCTGCAGAGATTGGAGTCACTGAGGAGACAGGGCTGCCTCACTTCAGCTGGATACTTGGTCGGCTCTCACTGGGTTGTGATTGTCAGCCCCAGGACATGCTGCTGCCACCATGCCCTCGCACAGGCAGAGGTGAAGAATAAGAATGTTTAAACCAGGGCTCTAGTAATTTGAGTCCTAACTTCCTGTGTGACCCGAGGAAATTGTTTGACCTCTCTGAATCCCTGGAAAGTGAAGACATTGGACTTCTGGCTTATAGTTCTGACACTGGAATGCTGGCCAGATCTTGTCTTCAGGTCCCAGGAGCACCTGCATACAATGGATCCTATCTCTCTGGCTTCTTTGCCACATTAAACTGCTTTTTCTCCACCCTCTTCTCCATGAGCATCACTTACTCTTTCATAAGGATGGAGCTTTCCAATGCCTGGGGTCTTAGATCCATGCAGCAGAGGAAAGGGCAAAATAAAAATTGTGCTTTGGGTGTGCTATTTGAGCCAGAGCTAAATTTGAGTAAAAGCTTTGTGTGTGAGTTTACAAACATATAATTAAGGCTCTTAGAGTTATCTAAATCCACTTTCTTGCCTTATAATTTTATGGTTAGAAGCATTACAGTTGTTTTTAGATTTTCATTATAACTGCAGTAGCCACAGATGGAACCAAATGGTGTTTGTTTATTTGTGTAACAAATTATGCCCCTCAGCTAACTTTCCTGTGTTATTTGCATTGGGTGTGCATTTTGCAAAAAAGTATACGTGGTCTGAGGGTATTCTCTTCCTTTGCTTCTATCTTCTTTCCAAACCAGCACTGACAATAGAAAACTGAGAAATCGAATGCACATGTGGGGGCCCACTCTGTTTGTGGCGCACATGCCTGCTGATCTTCAGCTTGGCTCTCAGTTCCACCCCACCAGCTAGCTGGGTAAATGTGGGAGTCAGCTGAATTCATTGACTTTTTACCCAAATAGTGACCTCTTATATTTTACTCCCTTTTAACAATCAGCATTAAGTCTCATTAGTACAATAGGGATAATTTAAAGTATTAGAAGCTTTAGTGTCATTGATGATGGAGTAGAAATGAAAATCATTTTTGTTTTGTTTCAGCTCTCTTCCCTCAGGCTCTTGGTAACCACCTTTCCATTTTCTGCCTCTGTGATTTTAACTATTTTAGGTTCCTCATACAAATGGAATCACATAGTTGTTGTTGTTGTTGTTTATGACTGGCTCATGTCACTCAGCACATTGCCTTCAAGTTCCATCATTCTACCCCGAAGTAGAATTGTTCTGTTATACTTTTAATTATATTTTTAATGTTTTGAGGAATGACCATACCATTTTCCAAAGTGGCTGTACCACCTTACATTTCCACCAACATGTGCTTACCAATATTTATTTTCTGTTATTTTATCATAGCAATTCTAATGGCTGTGAAGTGGCATATCATTGCAGTTGTAGTTTTGATTTTCATTTCTCTAATAATTAGTGATGTAAAGCATTTTGTTATGTGCTTATTGCTCATTTGTATATATTCTTTGGAGAAATATCTATTCAAGTCTTTCATCTATTTTTGATTTGTTTGTTTGTTGTTGTTGAGCTTTAGAGGTCTTTATATATTCTGGATGTTGAGCTCTTCTCAGATACAGGATTTCCAAGTGTTTTCTCTCATTCTTTGACTAAGCTTTTAGTCACACTTAGCTCTATCCCAAAAGAATAGGCAAAACCCACTGTTTATAAATTACAGATATTTTGTGTATAATCAGAACAATAGTTTTTGGAGTTGCATTGAGTTCAAACAGCAATGTCTGAACTCCCACTGCAGATTATGAAATGCCGTCTACATATGCACCAAAAGTGACTATCAGAGTGCTATCTTTCACATCAGGCTAAATTTTTTTCTAAAATAACTTTCTTTCACCTGGATGTGTAGAGTTTGGGTTTCAGAATTAATAAGGATAAATTCCTTTCCATTTATCCATTTGGGGTTTTCTACATAAGCAAGGGCCACTGTCAGTCTAGCTAACCATATACAGGGTACAGGCAATACAGCCTTGAAAACTCATTATGAGAGTATGTGCCTTCAGGTGTTCTTTTCTGGTCCTTCTTGCCAATCAAGAAATTTTCACTGAAATCTTATTGTCTGTGGACATCCAGTGATTCTGTCTGTGGATGATTTCATTAATATTGTTACTTTTTCTTTGGTTTCAAATAACCACCTGTGACAAATGTGTCTTAGGAAGTAGCGAAGCTAAGTTTATTAAAGAAGATTTAAAATATAAGCAATATGAATTTATTAGAAATTTGGGTGGGGTAGTCTTTTTGATCCAAAGAGTATAGGAATGCTAACTAAATCAGTTCCTTACATTAATCTCAGTTGCCCCTGGATTCCTTCTGAGATCACATAATCATAAACTTACAATGGAGGGGTAAGGCAAATACATCACATTCTTGGTTTATGATTCATACAACATTTTTGGAGAAATCATACCCTGAGAGATCTTGTCACTGCTACAACTAGATATCTGAAACACAAGTTCATATTCTCTAAAATCAAAGAATGAATTCTAGGAATAACGGAGGTTAAGAGTAGGAAAAATTTATTGAGAGAAAGATAGCTTCTGTTTAAGAGAGAAAGAAGGGGGACCTGAAAGTGGGTTGCCTGGGGACCCTATTTCCCAGGGGTTTTTATGGAACAATGCCACAAGGTGAGGTGGATTCAAGGTGGGACAAAACTATAGTCAATTGGTAAGATTACAAGTTCAATCATTTAGGTATTATTGATCGATTGGGAAATCACAAAATGGACACGAGGTGGGACAAAACTATGATCAACCAATAAGATTACAACAAGTATAGTCACTTAGGTATTATTGATTAAATGGGGATCCAATGGGGAAACATATCATGTAGCAAGTGCACAGGGAATTAACAAAGATTTTTGGTAAGGGATGGGTCAGGGATCTTTCCTGGGAGGGATGGTTAGGATCTTGGTCCCCTACCCAGGTGACTGATACCTATTTAGAGTATTAATCACTGCTATTAATCCCTAAGGGAAGTGCAGGGGTGTAATAGTTTCGCTCTTTTTATAATGCTATCCAGTGAATGTGCGTCAATTATTTTTCTATGCTGAGGACACAGCTTTATCTAACTGCCTTATAATAATTTCTAACTATCTTAGCTACCTGCAGAACAACCACATGATTGACCTTGGCAAGGACACTTCAACTTGGGGGCTTTTATTTCCCGACCTGAAGGGTGGGAGTTGTCTGGGGTCATCCTCTGAACAAAGCTATGTCTAGTCCCGAAAACCCATGACTGGTAATTTCTACGTTTATTCTCTCTGCTCTGTAGCTGAGAAATCACAGGGATGTCTCATGATTGGACAGGCTGACTTTTTGCAGTATTTAACAGAAAAATGTACATTTTTTTATTCATATCTTGTAGGCAGTTAGACCCAGCAGGCCCCATGAAAGACAATGGAGACATTCTCTGAAGTTCCACATTGTAAAAAAAGAAAAAGTACTACACCTACTTAATTCCTCTAGAGATAAATAGCGATGATTGATATTCTAAATAGACATTAATCTCCCTAGCCCATTTCCTACCTGGAAATTCCTTGTTCATTGTATGTATGCTTGCTACCTGACTTGTTTTCTCACTTGATCCCCATTTAATCAATATTACTCGGGTTACTGAATTTGTAATCTTATTGGTTGATTATGATTTTTGTCCCACCTTGTACACATACTGTGATTTCCCATTGGCTCTTATTAGTTGGCTATAGTTTTGTCCCACTTTGATCCCATCCCACCTCAGGGCTTTGCTCCATAAAAACCCCCTGGGAATTGAGATCCTGGACAACCCACTTTCTGGTCCTCCTACCGCTCTTAGAAGCTTTCTTTCTCTCAATAAGTTCTTCCTACTCTTAACCTTCATTGTTTCTACAATTCATTCTTTTATTTTAGAGAACATGAACTTA